GTAACATGTGTGCATTTCTTAGTAATAGATATTATATTTTTCACAAGTGTGAATTAAATGCAGAATATAATTATAAGAAAACAAATCCTTTGACAAAAGGCAAAAAAACAAAATGGGTTATTGCTACAGGTATGACGTGACATTTTTATTGTTATTCAAGGTCGTCTGATCTGAATCAGAATCAGTTTTATTGGCCAACATATGTGAGCATGTGCGAGGAATATGACTCCTGTTTTTTTAAATCTCAGGTGCAGACAAACATTTGACATATGACAATTAAAAAAACAAGGACAAGTGGAGAAGATATCCTGAATTAATCCTACACTCTACACTATGTTATCACAAGGCTTAATTACTCTCATTATGTTAATGAGTGATAATTAAAGTTCCCCGCTGACACCGACATCTTCAAATCGAGGTCGACAGCTTGTCAGACTTATGTGCAGGCATTTTTTAAAGTTAAAGTTGATGACCCCTGACCTACAGTTTGAGCTACTGGTAAGTTAAGTTTGAGGACAGACACACAGTCACAAACTCTATGCTCTATACAGGGATATAAATATATATTAAAGAGTATAGTGCAATACTTAAACGGTGAGTGCAAAGGTGACACCTTCTTTATCTTTGAATCGTCACTGTAAACAAACTGGAGGCTACACAAAGAAGAATCAGCCGATCATTTATATTCTTATAGTCACTACACCAGTCCTTACAGCTTTACAAGCTGTGCAACACGAGCCTGTTATTGTTCCAAGTGCGGAGAGAGCTTCACAGAGTCTGTTTGTCTCACATGTATTTTTCACATGCTGCAATAACTAAATGTTTTTAAAGATTTATGTTTGGGGATTTTTGTCTCTATTGGATGGGAGAGTTGAGTAGAGAGAGAGAGAGAGAGAGAGTGGGGAATGTCATGTGGGAAAGGAGCCGCAGGCCGGACTTGAACCCACGCCGTCCACTTGGTGGAGTAAAGCCTCTAAACATGGGGCTTAACCTAACCACTAAGCCACCTGTACCCAATATTTGTGTTCTCATAATGACTTATAATAAGTTGTTCTTTTACTGTATCGTTAATAAATTCTATTTAAAGTAAGCATAATGAAAACGTTTCGACTCTTTTTATTCTTCATGTACAATAAGCACAGCATTCATACTCTACAATGTGCAGCCCTTCAGTGCAATGAAAGTGAAAGTGCAGCGTGCAATGAGCAAGAAATTAAGATTCAACAGCTGTTAAACAAACAAACAGCAGCAGGTAGAAATGAAACTTAAAGCCACACAATGAAATCATGTTTTAGACAAAGTGTGCTTCAAATGTCTTTGCTGGAAATGTCCATTATTCCCTCTTAGAAGAAATGGAATAGTCTGCATGGAGCTCAGACCTCAAACACATCCAACGTCTTCTCAATAACCAAGAAACAAGATTCAAGATTCAAAAAATCACATTGTGACAGAAAATGACTTTTGGTTGAGGCTCAGTAACTTAAAAACTTTTGTTTTTTAAATCACACTAAGGCTCACATGAAGTCATAAAATAAAATAAAAGTTCCTTAATAAGGTAAAAACACATGCACAGCATGTAAAAGAGCAGTGTTTTTTCTATCCTTGTTTAAAATGTGTATTAAAGTGGGAGTAAAAAAGTCTCTGTACGATTTCTTTCTCTCTAATGGTTCTCTGAAACAGCGTCCTGAGGGGAGCAGCTGAAGCGAGTGGTGAAGGGGACGTGAAGGGTGATTTTAGCAGCATGTTTAATAATACCAGTGAGTTTTTTCTTGCATTTTTCAGTAAGAACGTTGCACCAGGATATGATGTTAAATGTGAGGACTGATTCAATGAGTGACCAGTTGAGTGAACTCCAGCTCTCTGTCACATTTGAATATACAGCAACATAAGGCGCCATGTGTTGATTTACATGTTGTACATGTGGAGATCAAGCTTAGATATAGTGTGCCTTATGATCAGGAAAAGCAAATAAACTCAATCTGTTTCACACTGCCACTATGGAATCTGCTAAAAGTTACATCATTAGATTAGATAAGTTTCAGCTTTTTGTCATAGCACAAGTACTGATGAAATGCAGTTTAGCAACTTGTTTCTATTTCTCTTCCTGCTCTTACCTTCTTATTGCTGTTATCTTTTGATTTGCTTTTAACTCTTTTAGTTTCTTACATCTTTTTAAATCTTTGGTTCTCTTGGTCTCAGCTCGTGTTGTTGGGTTCTTGTGTTGCCTGGGTTCTTATGATGGTTCTTATGATGGTTCTTATGATGGTTCTTGTGATGGTTCTTGTGTTTCCTGGGTTCTTATGATGGTTCTTGTGATGGTTCTTATGATGGTTGTTGTGATGGTTCTTGTGATGGTTCTTGTGATGGTTGTTGTGATGGTTCTTATGATGGTTCTTGTGATGGTTCTTGTGATGGTTCTTGTGATGGTTCTTATGATGGTTCTTATGATGGTTCTTGTGTTGCTTGGGTTCTTGTGATGGTTCTTGTGATGGTTCTTGTGATGGTTCTTGTGATGGTTCTTATGATGGTTCTTGTGATGGTTCTTGTGATGGTTCTTGTGATGGTTCTTATGATGGTTCTTGTGATGGTTCTTATGATGGTTCTTAGGATGGTTGTTGTGATGGTTGTTGTGATGGTTGTTGTGATGGTTCTTATGATGGTTCTTATGATGGTTCTGGTGATGGTTCTTGTGATGGTTCTTGTGATGGTTGTTGTGATGGTTCTTATGATGGTTGTTGTGATGGTTCTTGTGATGGTTCTTGTGATGGTTCTTGTGTTCCCTGGGTTCTTATGATGGTTCTTGTGATGGTTCTTGTGATGGTTCTTGTGTTTCCTGGGTTCTTGTGATGGTTCTTGTGATGGTTCTTGTGATGGTTCTTATGATGGTTCTTGTGATGGTTCTTGTGATGGTTCTTGTGATGGTTCTTGTGTTCCCTGGTTCTTGTGATGGTTCTTGTGATGGTTCTTGTGATGGTTCTTATGATGGTTCTTGTGATGGTTCTTATGATGGTTCTTGTGATGGTTCTTGTGATGGTTCTTGTGATGGTTCTTGTGATGGTTCTTATGATGGTTCTTGTGATGGTTCTTATGATGGTTCTTAGGATGGTTGTTGTGATGGTTGTTGTGATGGTTGTTGTGATGGTTGTTGTGATGGTTCTTGTGATGGTTCTTGTGATGGTTCTTGTGATGGTTCTTGTGTTGCCTGGGTTCTTATGATGGTTCTTGTGATGGTTGTTGTGATGGTTGTTGTGATGGTTCTTGTGATGGTTCTTGTGATGGTTCTTGTGATGGTTCTTATGATGGTTCTTGTGATGGTTCTTGTGATGGTTCTTAGGATGGTTCTTGTGATGGTTGTTGTGATGGTTCTTGTGATGGTTCTTGTGATGGTTCTTATGATGGTTCTTGTGATGGTTCTTGTGATGGTTCTTATGATGGTTCTTGTGATGGTTGTTGTGATGGTTCTTGTGATGGTTCTTGTGATGGTTCTTATGATGGTTCTTGTGATGGTTCTTGTGATGGTTCTTGTGATGGTTCTTATGATGGTTCTTGTGATGGTTCTTATGATGGTTCTTAGGATGGTTCTTGTGATGGTTGTTGTGATGGTTCTTGTGATGGTTCTTGTGATGGTTCTTGTGATGGTTCTTGTGATGGTTCTTATGATGGTTCTTAGGATGGTTGTTGTGATGGTTGTTGTGATGGTTGTTGTGATGGTTCTTATGATGGTTCTTATGATGGTTCTTGTGATGGTTCTTGTGATGGTTCTTATGATGGTTCTTATGATGGTTGTTGTGATGGTTCTTGTGATGGTTCTTGTGATGGTTCTTGTGTTCCCTGGGTTCTTATGATGGTTCTTATGATGGTTCTTGTGATGGTTCTTGTGATGGTTCTTATGATGGTTCTTGTGATGGTTCTTGTGATGGTTCTTGTGATGGTTCTTGTGTTCCCTGGGTTCTTGTGATGGTTCTTGTGATGGTTCTTGTGATGGTTCTTGTGATGGTTCTTATGATGGTTCTTGTGATGGTTCTTATGATGGTTCTAGTGATGGTTCTTAGGATGGTTCTTGTGATGGTTGTTGTGATGGTTCTTGTGATGGTTCTTGTGATGGTTCTTATGGTGGTTCTTGTGATGGTTCTTGTGATGGTTCTTGTGATGGTTCTTGTGTTCCCTGGGTTCTTGTGATGGTTCTTGTGATGGTTCTTGTGATGGTTCTTGTGATGGTTCTTATGATGGTTCTTGTGATGGTTCTTATGATGGTTCTAGTGATGGTTCTTAGGATGGTTCTTGTGATGGTTGTTGTGATGGTTCTTGTGATGGTTCTTGTGATGGTTCTTATGATGGTTCTTAGGATGGTTGTTGTGATGGTTGTTGTGATGGTTCTTGTGATGGTTCTTATGATGGTTCTTGTGATGGTTCTTGTGATGGTTCTTGTGATGGTTCTTGTGATGGTCTGGTTCTATATGTCTGTTGGGTATCGTGCACTTTGGGTTCTTTTCTTTTGAATTGTATTTAATTATTTTTAGTATTTTACATTTGTTATGTTCTTGTTGTTGTTTATGTTCTTCTGTGTTTGGTTTAGTTTGTTCTTGTTTTTGTTGTTTGTCAAAGCACTTTGTAAACCTGTGTTTTTAAAGGTGCTATATAAATAAAGATATTATTATTGTTGTTGTTGTTGTTGTTGTTGTTGTTGTTATTGTTGTTGTTGTTGTTGTTGTTGTTATTATTATTGTGATTGTTGTTGTTGTTGTTGTTGTTGTTATTATTATTATTGTGATTGTTATTGTTATTATCATTATTATTATTATTATCATCTAACCAGAAATGCAAAAAAAACCTTTAAAGGAAGAGTGAGCTACGTCTTCATAAGGTAGATGTCGCCGTTGTTAGTATTTTTCTGGTAGTACCAATAAATGTCCATCAGGTGGCGACAACGCACCCACACACAAATATTTCAACTTCCGGGTCGACTGCTCCTTCTTTCCTGTCGGCCATTTGTCGTATACGGTAGGTTTTTCCGACGAGCTCTCCACTGAAAACGTCAAAAACTCGTAATTTCCCCAAACATAGCCGTCGTTTTTGTTAGGTATGTAAACATTAAAGTGGTTTTGTAGCTGTAGATGACAGATTAGGAGATGGTTTCCCGCTTAAATAACGTAAATACGAGACTTCTGTCCGGTGTGTGAGCAGCCACATGCGGCCGTGATGCTAACTCATGAGCTAACCGGCTAACGCTCCCATAATCACGCAGTTGTTTGAGTATAAGTGGACTGACTGCACAGTTACGGTAGCAGACGTGAGTAAACGCAGTTCTCATTTATGATTGTGTTGCTCTTCTGTCTTTCAGGTGTGTAAGCGACTTCCTGTACAACATTAAAGATGCAGAACGACTCTGGAGAATTCGTGGACCTTTACGTCCCACGGAAATGGTGAGTTTGTAGTTTATCACCAAGAAACAGTCAGATGTGAGTTTGTAGTTTATCACCAAGAAACAGTCAGGTGTGAGTTTGTAGTTTATCACCAAGAAACAGTCAGGTGTGAGTTTGTAGTTTATCACCAAGAAACAGTCAGATGTGAGTTTGTAGTTTATCACCAAGAAACAGTCAGGTGTGAGTTTGTAGTTTATCACCAAGAAACAGTCAGATGTGAGTTTGTAGTTTATCACCAAGAAACAGTCAGATGTGAGTTTAATGTGTCACAGGTTACTGTGGTTAAACATGTGAGGGCAGAGATTGGCTTTGTTTAAATGTGTTTAAATGTGTTGAAATGTGTTGAAATGTGTTTAAATGTGTTTAAAGTGGAGACAGTGACCCAGCTGACATCAGAACATCATGATCAGATTCAACTTTAATGTCTTTCCACATAAACAAGTTTAGAGAAACGAAATGAGGTTTGACATCTCACCAGAAGTGCAAGAATCTGTTCTATGTTCAGTAATTACAAAATGTACAGATGTGGACTAAAACAAGTGAATTATTGGGTATATATGTCTGGATTAATGGGATGCTATAAATATAAATAAATGCTCTAAATGTAAGTATATTCTTCAGATAATAATATACAGATTAAGATGCAGTGAGCATGTTATACTAGTTCACAGATAATATACAGAATATGGACAGGTCGATAACTTATGGAGGTGATATGAACATAGTCTAATACAGGTGGATGAGAGGTGTGTGTGTGTGTGTGTTTGTGTGACCAGGAGGAGTGGTGGGGGGATGATGGGTGTGAGGTGATGTGCAGGGGAAAGGGGGGGGTCAGCGGGGGGCGGAGTTCAGTAGAGAAACAGCTCTGTGGAAACAGCTGTTCCTCAGTCTGCTGGTTCTGGTCCGGAGGCTTCTGAAGCGCCTGCCGGAGGGCAGGAGGGTAAACAGTCTGTGGGCAGGGTGGGAGGAGTCTTTAAGGATGCCGTGAGCTCGCCGCAGACAGCGTGTTCTTTGGACGTCCTCAATGGCAGGATATATTATATTGACCTCTTGTTACCAGGAACATATTCTCATTGAGGTGTAGAGATCTCCTTTTCCAGAGAGTCCTGAACAAGACAGCAAACCCAAAAGATTCAGACTGATAATAAACAAATATTTACAAAATCAACAAATCAATCAAAATTTATTTATACAGCACCTTTCAGACCAATTAAATTGCAGTTCAAAGTGCTTAACAAGAGTGCAGGAAAGTTATTGACATAAAGTAGTTTCTAAAATCATTGAGAGACTAATGCACACCAATAAGAATTAAAAAAATATATATATAAATAAAATACAACACATAAAAGCAATACAATATTAAAATAAATACAAAAGAGGAAAATATTTAAAGTTGTAGTAGGATAAAAAAGACAATACAGTAATGTTAAGATTTGAATTTGTATAAAAGCCAGACTGAATAAATGAGTTTTAAGATATTCTCCTCTCAGACTGTCAGGAAGGTTGTTCCACAGTCTCAGAGTGTAACAGCTGAAAGCAGCATCACCAAAGGCTTTTGTCCTGCTCTGTGGAACAACTAAGAGAGAGGAACTGGAGGAAAGGACCATTCAGAAGCGTTAAACAGATTTACACATGATCCTTTATCCGACCTCTGCAGCTCATACTAAGACGATGGAGCAAAAACACTAAAGACACTTTCACCAAAGATGAGTTTGAGGAATTAAATGCACGATGAGTCCTTGAGATGGAAGGCCACCGCTGCTGAAAGCTTTAGGAATCAGCAGAGAAGATGATCTCGGTAGCTGATGTTTATCTGTTGTGCCAGATCAGATTAATGCGTAACTACTGATTCAGAGAAGAGAGGTTTTTTAGCGGACAGGTGGAGTCAGCTGTTCAGTTTTTATTGTGATACATGACAAAATGAAGCTATTGTGGGAAGCTCACACCAAAGGAAGTATTGAAGCAAATATCGGTGTTCTTTCTGATTTTCCTAATCTGTGCATCCCTGATAAAGACCAGGACATGAAGTGATTAACTAAAATATTTCTTTCTTTTTTTTGCCAGCTCTGCTAGCAACAGAATCATTGGAGCAAAGGACCATGCCTCCATCCAGATCAACATTGCAGAGGTAAAATCAAGACTTTGAGATAATTCATGAAACTAAATGCACTTTGTAGTTTGGATCTCAGTTGGACATGTTGTGTTCATGGTCAGTTGAACTGTTTTTTAAAGCCAGTATAATCTGCTCAAACACTCCTGGAATGGTACTTTTTCACATATTTGCAGGTTGTGTTCATTTTGAGATTAGAAACATTCATACATTTTCCTTTTACACCTGTCTTACAGATGTTTATTTAAAAAGAGCTTCTCATGAACTGCAGATGCTTGTCAGTGTTTTTCCTCTCATGTGTTGCTCTTTGTCCTCTGCAGGTTGACAAGGTGACCGGTCGCTTCAACGGTCAGTTCAAGACCTACGCTATCTGTGGCGCCATCCGCAGAATGGTGAGTCTAGAGCTGCTTTTCTTGCTGCTCAGATCTTGATGAATGGTGCTGATGGACAAGATCCTGAAAGACGTTTAACTCTGGCTAGAATCCCTCATCCACACACTCCACTCTTTACACAAGAGGAGCATCCAGACAAACGAATGGATGAGCTTAAAATCAGGATTGTGCACTAAGGCGACCGACGGGAACATAGTCTGAGAATCTACGAGCTGATTACATGATACACACGTCCTGATTTGACTTGTTATCTGCCTGTTGGTTCTGTAAAAACTGATGTGTGAGATGTAATATTGTCAGAGTTGGAACGTATCAAACATCAACATGTAGTATTTTCTGTTTTTGTGAGCAGGTAACCTTTACCAGGCTTACTTTTTTGTTGGCTTTTTGGGCCTTGATTTTAAAGGATAGTTGATAGTCAGAGGAGGGGGGGAGGGGAGTAAAGGAGTCACAGGTCGGATTTAACGCGGGGCCGCCCACTTGGATGGCCTCAGTACATGGGGTGTACAAACAAACCACTCGGCCTTCAACGCCCCAGCAGTCTTCTTTTTACTTGGAAACCTTTAAGTTTGGACTGCAGGTTAATTTATTTGTACGAGTCTCAAGTACCAAACTGTTTCCAGTATGAGTCATGTGTCCCTTAACATCATAACATCAGAGGGGAGATGAAGGTGTTTGAACAGAGTTACATCTAAGGGAGACATTGGGTTCTCTGTATCTGGAATGGCTTAACCTGCGCTTGTTGGGGGCTGTTGCACTCTGCAGATGCCCCCCCCCCCCCCCCCGAGATTTTAATTTTTTCCAAACACTGAAGCTTTTATCTTGAACATTTGTTTTTCTTTCTTTCCTTCCTGCAGGGTGAGTCTGATGACTCCATCCTGAGGCTCGCAAGGGACGACAGCGTTGTTGCCAAGTAAGAATTTGTTCCCAGATTTCATAACTTCATGGTCTACTTTGTAAAGATCTCAAGAAAATATACAAAACATGAGCTTGTATCAAAAAGCATCACCATAAATATACAGCCAGGTTGTTTCTAAACCATAAGAAGATATTCAGAAGTGTTTTATTGATATTTTAATTGATCAATATAATCATGAGTCTGTACAGTTTGCAGGAGTGTGTCCAGACTTTGTTGAGTGGGGTGGCCCTACTGGGGCACTGACTAATGCAAGGGTGGCCTGAAGTGTGAAGTGCTCACAAACACACACACCAATAATTAACGCCCAGCGTATTTTTTGAGCGCTCCACCTTTTTTTTGTACTGCCGATCTGAGAGCTCAAGTTTTAAATCTTTAAACTTTTCAGAAAGGTCACCGGCGCTCTTTTCCAAATGTGAGATTCCCCGTAGTTTTGCCGCCTGTGGATCGTAACTTGTGCCCACATCTTTTTTGCTTCGTTTCTAATGAGGAAAAACAATCTCAAATATAAAACATGCAGTAAAAAGTAACGGAGCACTGTTTGCCATACAGCGGCTGTTGTCATAGAGACAGGATGGCGAGCAGCGCTTTTCTGCCCCAAAAAAACGTAGGTGGACACAGGGCCTAACTTGTTTCAATGCATTAATTTTATAATTAAAAAAAAATATATATAAAAAAATAATGTTTTGGTTAGAAAAATTTCCAGCTAATTCATTAAAAGTAAGACGGTGTGCATTACCTTCCAATCCTTCTGTTTTATGAAATAGATGTGCAACATTTTTATTCAAAATTTCAAGAAGAAACTAAAGATAGTATTCTACATTAATGTGTAAAGAAAAATACTCTCAGCCTTTTGCAGAAAAAAACAGAATAGTCTGGATTTCACACAAGTCCCACCTCTGACAGGCAAACAGCCAATCACAGTTAAGAATTTGTGGGGTTGCCTCTGTGTAGGCCAATCAGATTTCAAGGGGGGGGAATGCCCTGTCTTGACACGCCCCAGATTGTTTGAGACTTTATTTCTGATTCAAATTGTGTTTTTTGTTGACAGTTTCAGTAACTCATATCTTTACTTTACTTTTTGTTTTACAGAACCTTCTAAGAGCGGAGCTGGAGAAGTGGAACATTTGTAAAAATAAAAATGTTAAAAAAAAACAACACAACCTGGTTTGTCTTTTTCTCTGATCTCTCGAGTGTGAACGTTTGACAAATGTTTACAGCATCATGAATATTTCCGTGTTGGCCGTTATTCAAACCACGTATCTCAGTGATTAAATATTTCTGAAAGTGAAGGTTTGCATAGGAACAGTGATTATAGAGCCACATGGATTAATAAAAAGAAATACATTTAATCAAAGTTCAGATGAGACTATTACGGTTTGTTAAATCTCAAATTTGATACCATGATGTGATATAATGAGTGTAAAAACATTCTTCTTAATTGTAGTTAATGTCCTTTAAATGATCAGAAACAGCCATTTAGATCGGAGGAAGATCTCTGAAACTACCGCGTGGAAAGGTCATTTATGTTTACGTTATTTCAGACCCATAGCTCCATGTCATAAAGGGCTGAAGAAATATAAATACAGGACATAAACAAAGGCATGAAATCACCAAAGTTACACATTTTCCTAATTAAAATACGAACACATTTGCACCAGTGTTTCCAGGAAATGCAAGAAATGCCATTTTCAGAATCATTAAATCAACACATTTGTATATCACATGTCTCAATACAGCATGAAATGTGGAGACCTTTTTAGTAACAAACATTTGACTTGCATTTGTCCATCTTGGTAATTCAAGACATTCTGAATGCATCATTATTTGACAACTTCAACTTTCTCTTTTATTTTGCTTTACTGTAACTGCACCAGAAGTGAGCAGTGTACAGTAAACTCTGTTTAACCTTTCTGTGCACATTAGACATTTCGGTGCCAGCATATTAGTTTAAATTACAGTTTGCAACACATCATCATCATCATCATCATCATCACTCAAGTCATTCCTGATTATATGCCCTTTATAGTTGACTTGTTCCACCACACTGAGGCTTGATAGACTGATGGATAGTCTGAACTACCCTAACCAGACTTTACACGTAACTCCAGCAGCACTCCAGCAGAGGGCAGCATGCAACAAGAAATATGGTTACCTTCAAAACCTGAGTAAATATTCCAGAAACAAAAACTATTTCTGATGCTTTCTTTTTTTCCGACTGTTACAAATTGTATTAATAAAAATGACTTAACATGTTGCTTCTAATCTACAGGTACGCTAAGTGAACACTCTCACCTTTAGGGCTTTATTTACACAAGTGGTATTGAAGGCATATTTGAATGAGTTATGCTTATTTTGATTTACTCAATTGGGGATTTTTTTTTTTTACCGTTTAAACAAATAACGGCTAAAGTTTTTGGAAACGTACGAAACAGCGCCCCCCTTTGGTAACAATGTCAGTCAATGCCATTTGTGTGTGTGGTGAAGGAGGGTACTGCAACGTACAGGTGCAGCCGTGTCAAACTTACTGAGAGAAAGTTAAAGCTGAAGTTTTCTCCTTTTTAACATAAATTGTGAGTAAATCAACCCAAAAACAAAAAACAAATGGAATACAACAAAATAACAGCAAGGTATGTTTTAAAAAATAATACTGAAAGAGTCATACCAGTGGTGTTGCTTAAAAAGGTTATTAAAAATATATAAAATGTGTCTGTATTGTAAGCTAATGGGCAAGAAAGCGATTTAATTTATGATTAAGACGCTGATGATTATGAGTGTGACTTATTTTGTTTTGTGCCAGTTTCCTGGATCTGGTGTGGAGCCAGCCTCAAGCAGACACTTGACGGACTGCAGGATTTTTCACTTCTGCATTGCCTTAATTATTCAAAGCCAGGGGTTGTCACTTGAGTTGAACCCACCCAACTTTGAGCCCACCCATTTAACTTGTCATAAGATCAGATCAGAAATAGATAAATAGTTAAATAAACCTGATGAAATCTCCTTTTTGTACATGCAGCCAAACTTTATTACAAAAGTTCTGATGTAGGTCTGTTGTTGCAAATGGATTTTGTCTCCTGCAGATCCTGAAGTAGAGGTGTGTTACCTGTCGCTGTGTGCACCACCTGGCTTTTTAAAAAAAGAGCAAGCAGCTGAAAAAGGGGGAATAACAGAGCAAGGTGAAGGTATGGAGAGGTTACAGTGGTCATTTAGGCTAAACACAGTGTGGGGGGGGGGGGGGGGGGGGTGAGAGCGGTTTCAGGGCGTCTTTAACCTCAAACAGCCTCAATGATAGCTGTCATCAGCTGCTTTACTGCTTTGTTCCCACACATTCTCCTGTTGGAGAGGTTGGGCAGGTGGAAGTTTGTCACCATCATCTTCCTCACCTCCCCTTCTTTTTTCGTTCTGTTCGTTTTTTTTCCCCACAAGGCCCGGTTGAACTTGACTGGAAGGGGCGTGCCAATCCTGACCCTCCATGCGCATTTATCTGTGTTTAGAGAAACTCTGATTCTGGGCTTGTTGCTCTCATAACGTATTGAAGGCGTCTCTAGTGAACGGTCATACAATTTTCAAGCGTTTTTGGGTATTTACAGGATAGATATCGAGGGGGAACAGACAAGGGCTCAAGTTAAAAACTCAAATTGCAAAAGTCATCTCTGAAATTACAACTACACAGATTTATCCCTTTGCATAACGGGGTAATGGGTAACTAGCTCTCACCTCGTCCCACAGTCTCTTTCCCAGGTGAAATGACAGACTCCAGTGAGTGTGCTCTGCTCCTCTGCCTTATAATTGCATCGCTTCCCGCTCATGGACAAATGAGTGACCGTTAACTGCCTGTAACCGTGAGAAAAAAACAGGATGCCACCCCCTGTTTCTCTTGAGAGAGCAGACAGGCAAAACAAAGTTTAATGTGTGCTGCAACATTAAGCTCTGCAAGAATCTCATGCTATAAAATAACAATATTGTTAGAGAGAAGACAACTTAATTGGCATAAAAGGTAAATTGTTGAATTGCAAACATCCAATATTAGAATCTTACTTAAATGCTGGCTTCGCCCTGCATTACATCATGCTCATATTGCTTCTTAGTGTTAGCATCATGATGTTAATAAACATTTTGCATGAGCCTCAATCTCTTCTGAATTTCATTCTAAGCATGCTTGGTGTTTTTTTTTTGTTTTTTTTGAGCCTGTGGCAGGGAGCCTGTGGCAGGGAGCCTGTGGCGAGTCACAGCTCGTCAAACAATGGTCTTAACATAAAGGGGATGGAGCCTCTCTAGCACCCCCTCTCCCCTCCCCCTAACCCCTCACCTGGCCCCCCTGCATACCTTTGACACACAGACAAAGACCACTGTGTGAGTAATGAGACGACGGACAGAGAGCCAGTATGAGAATGTGTACGCATGTATCCTGATCTGAAGAATTTGATTGCATGTGTGCTAATAAAATTCAAAACTTTTGTGTGTTGCAACAGCAGGTGTTTGTTCTTTTTTTTTGACAGGAAGTTGCTTTGTCGCTTTACTCAATGACATCATTTTCTCTTCAGCTGATGTCACTGACTGATCCAGATCTTCAGAGTCTAAATCCTGACTCTGTTTTCTCCTCGGTTGGTTTAAATATCGTAGAAACCAGAAAGCTGCAGGTGAGCAGCTGTAGTTCAGACTGCAGTTCCTTTAACCTCCACCAGGTGTCAGTTATAACAAAACTATATCTACCGTAACAGGTGAACACAGACCCTGAAGTTGTGTTTGTAATTTTATACTTTTCAAAACACTGATAGTAAATAAAGTTTGACTTATCCCACAGCTACAGATTTAGTTTGCTTCATGCTCCAAGAATGTAACCATAACTTTCCTTTCCTCGTCTTCCTCTGTTCCTCTCATCCTGTCTTTAATAAGTGCTCTCTTTATGCTCCTCTCTATCTTTCCATCTCTCTCTCTCGCATCCTTTTGTCCGTCTTCAGAAGCAGCTGGTTTCATGTCTCCGTCTCTTTGTCCTTTTTTTTAGATGTCAGCAGTCTTCAAAGTGGGGAGCAGGTTAACAAGACGCCGGTAAGAGAGAGAGAGAGAGAGAGAGAGAGAGAGTGGGTTAAAGAGAGGGAGGGGAAACACTGTTTTTAAAGTGAAATGAATCCTTAATGACTTCAAACCTCTCCATCTGCACTAAAATACTGTCATTAATATTCTTTAAATTAAAGACTTTACAAGCTTAAAAGCAGGTTATTGTCATCCTGCTTAAATCAAAACACTGAAGACTTAATGTGGCATCATTTATCAGGTATTTATTTGGGTATATAGTTAGAGTAAAATCCTAGAATTTAAGAAACAGATGAAGAGATTCCTATCAATCCTCAATGTGAAGAGTCAGGAAGTAATGACGTGGTGAGTCAAATTTCCAGAGAAACCTGTTAAGAGCGATGTAGTTTTTTAAATTAAAATGTTGACATTTTGGCACCATTGATTGTATCACACGAGTCAGGACGATGATAAATTGCTGAATCGATATATTGTCCAAGCTGCAACCTCCGGTGTTGAAAAATTAAGCCAATGCAGAAGTGTAAAATCCTGCAGTTCCTCGAGTGTCCACTAGAGGCTGGCTGCAGGAACGCAGAAAGTCACATACACACCCATTCAAATATTGCCAATTTAACAGCATAAATAAACATGTTTACAGTCTGGTACAAACAACTAAATAGGTCTGATTAGTTACTGTCCTCATAGGCAAACACTGTAAAGGTGGCGTTTTGATTTATGAACAATACGTGTAGGTGTGTAGCTGACATGATTGACAGGCGAGATGTAACTGTTCATCGAGAGGTTTAAAACCCGCCTCAGCTCCAGCTCTCAGCCTGTTGTTAGGCTGACTGAAAGTTAGACTGAGACAGCATTTCCAACATGGTGGCTGCTGCTGATGAGCCTCCAGCGCCCCCTGCAGGAACAGATAAGTGACGTCACTCAGGCTTCAAACATTCATATTTACAGTCTGTGGTCAGAGCCCAACACGTATCAGGGCTTTAAAGTTGGAAGTAGAGAAGTTGTCATGTGTTCTCGCCTGTCTGACAAATTCAAACTGGTGGTCTCAAAGAATAAATGTTGTTTTTTAAAATGTATTTTCCTCTTGGTCACACTAAATGAAAAGTCAGGGTGATCACCACACATCCTT